CGGGCGCGGTGCTGGCCCGCGACCGCCAGAAAGGGCAGAAAGGTGCCCTGCCCTGCCCTGCCCTGCCCTCTGACCCGAGGCTCGGCCTTTCCCGCTTCCCGCAGTGACCTGATCGGCCGCTTCCCCGACTACCCCGAGGAGGAAATCGGGGGCTGTGAGGTCCTTTTTGCTCAGAAGACCCCAGAAGAGGTATGGGGGACAGGGGTGGTGGGCCTTGCCCTGGGGATGGCCTCCCCAGGACTGTCATCCCTCCTCTTTGCCCAGCTGAGAACTCCTGTCTGTTCAGGTGAGGGCCGAGCTGGATCTGGCGGAGACCAAGGCCGACACGAAGAAGAAGGAGAAGGAGAAGAAGGGGAAAGAAAAGAAGGAGGAGGTGAAGAAGGAGGAGGAGGAAGACAGGAAGGGGAAGGACAAGAAATCGGTGAGCGATGTCCTCGGCCGGGCTTCTCCCCTGTGAGATTGCCGGCCGGGACAGGCCTGGCAGGACTGGCCTTTGGAGAGGCTGCAGCTTGAATGGGGAGAATTAAGGGGCTTGCAGTTCTCCCTAGGAGGAAGACGAAGGGCTGAAGCTGGCTCCCTCGAAGTTCCTGGCCACCATCAACCAGGGATTCCTGCGGTACACGGGTGAGTACACGGGTGAGGAGGGCATCGTACACGGGTGAGGAGGGCATCGGGGCAGGGGCGGTAGGCTTCTCGGGGCGCTTGGTCTGAAAAGGCCAGGAGGTGGAGGTGGAGGTAGTAGGTGGGCATCTCTGGAAGTGCCCTGCTTCACAGCTCTGTGTGTGGCATGGACTGAGTCCTAGCCCAGAGAAGGGGGCAGCCACCAAGGCCCTTCTCTCTTTGGAGGACTTGGGCCCTCGCCCTCTTTCTGGGGTTGGCTCTTCTCGGGCTGCCAGATTGCTCCAGGGAAGCCTATTGGCGGTGGGTAGGGCTGCCGGACTGCTGGCATGCGGGGTCCAGTGCCCACCAAGGGCAGGCCGGCCAAGCTGGATTGGGATCCTAGGAAGGCTCCCTGGGGGTGGGCTCACGGGTTGTAGGAACGCACGTGCCTTGCCCCTTCCCTAAGGCTGCTGGAGTGAAGAAGATGAGGCCATCAATTTTGAGCAGCGTTACCAGCCTAATCTGATTAAGGCTGAGAAGAGGAGAGAGGTGGAGACGGAGATCCGGCTGCAGGTGGGTGCCACCTGGATGGCGAGGAGGCCAGGTTCAGGCAGCATCTGGAGAGGCAACGGGAATGCCTTTCTCTCCCAGGTGGACGAACTGATGCGCGAGGAGCTTCGGCACTTGCGGCTGGCCATCGACCAGGAGGAGACGAAAGCTCTGAAGACCAAGGCCAAGAAGAGTGCCAAGGTCAGGAGGACCCGGGTTCCTTTCCCCTGAGCGTCGAGGGGGGCTACAAAGGGCACTGAAGTCCTTGCCCGCCCCCTTAGTTTGATAGAAAACGTTCTCTTTGTTGAAGCAGAAGAGAGGAAAGAAAGGAAAAAAAGAGAAGGACCTGACGCCAGAGAGGTACTCCCCCCTCCTGCCTCGCTGGCATTCTGAGGGACTTGGAACCACAGGGTGGGGGCAGTTCCCCCCACCCCCCATCCCGCAGCCTCTTTGCTGCAGTGATCCCCTGGCAGCTAATGACGCCTCTGCCTGTGGCATCTTGTCTGTCTTTTAAAGCCGTCCAACCTGCAGCTTTTCCCCACCCAGGGACCACCCAAGAACGTGGTCACAGTGCTGTAGATTAGGATTCAGGCTGGTGTGCGTCGTGTAAAGAACATTAACGATTCTGGTTGTCATCTCACCAGATAATGTTCTGTGCATCTGATGAAGCGCCGTGTCATCTGCAAGCCCACGGGGCGTAATATGTTTCTTAGAAAATGATTTCTTTATGCTTTTGCTACAAAAGACTAATAGGGCAGGCCCTCTGGAAATTCTGGCACCGCCTTGCTTTGCTTTGTCCTGAATCCTGCAACATTTTTTAATTTCAGATCATTTACAAATAAGTTCAAAAATGCTGCACTCAGTACAGGTCATGGTGAGACCTTGTGGTTTGCATCCTTCTGCATTATGAACTCTGTTCGTTTCTATACTTTCTTCCGTGGGTCTGCTGAAGAACCTTGCAACATTCCTAGCCACCATCCCAGCGATTGTCAAAGTGTCCTCTGTGGATCACCAGTGTTACACACGCTGCTCCCAGGTTCGGCTTATGGCCACTCACTCACACACTCACAGCCTGTTGAGGCACGCGGGGATCTTGCCAGCCCCCCTTGCTTTCTACCTGGGTTTTCCAGAGAGGTGCGGCTGGAGCAGACACACACACAGCCCTGGTCAACAGCCGGGAAATAATTAGGGATACACACAAA